AGTGCCGACCATGCCTTTGGCAAAGCCAGAGAAAAATCCCTGAAGAGGAAAACAGAGATAAGCAAACTTAGCTCTTGCCTCCTCTAGCTGTTACTCTAGCAAAAATGTGACAATGCTAGTGATATAAGATGATAACAGTAATAATAATCATATTATATAATATAATGATAATGGAATGAAATAATATATGATAATCATTGTAATAATATATGATAATCATTGTAATAATATAATATGATAATCATTGTAATAGCTAATATTTGCACAATATGACAGTAATATTGACTATATGATGTATCAAAGATAATGCATATAATAATGTTCATGATATGATATGACAGAATTATGATACAATGATAAATGAAAAAGGCATGATAATAAAATATGATATATAATATGATGTGATATATATATATATGATATGATAACACTACTACTAATAATAATGATTATGATAACAGTTATCATAATTGATAATGAAAATATCATCATAAATGATAATGAAAATTAGTAATCATAAATGATAATGAGGACTATAATTCTGATCATGACAGCAACAGAGATAATGATTATGACAAGATCCAATGACTCACTGGGATGCCCTCCTGGGTGACACCAGTATATGTCTGGGACACAATACTAGTGAGGCCACCATACAAGCCAAGGCCGAGCCCTCGTATTCCTGCAGCAATGTGCTCTGCCCCACTGGCTGTCTGCTTGTTGCGTAGCCTCTGACGGTGCTCTTCATGCTTGTCATCCATTGTCACACGCCCGACAGCATCAGACAATGACCCTAGAAGAAGGCAGCCCTTAGTAAAAATAATACATCTTAGTCCAGATGATAAAATCTTTTTTCATATAAGTAAAAAGAACCTATAATTTTCTATAATTCAAAAATCTGCATATTGCTTTTTCTAAAATTAAGACACTTTTTTTATATTTCAAGACAATGTATATTCTGGAAAGGCTAGAAATTCCACAAAGAGCTGAAGTAAAATGATTTATCAAGACAAAAATATATAGATATTCATGATTCCATAAAAAATTATCTAATTCTTTCATCAAGATTTTATGCAACTGCTTTAGAGATTGTCCCCTCCTGTATACTTGCTAATAAAATATGGGGATGTGTTATTTCTTTACATCTATCTTTTACTAATGAGTTGGTATATGAAGTTTTCACCAGGTTGTTATCAATAGATATTATGAAGATCCAAATACAAAAATACCATTCTTTAGGTATTTTTTCTTTTTGTACCCCCTACCCTAGTTTTCAATATGATCACCACCACTTTACTCTAGAATACAGCATGACAATTTTTAAAAGTACAATAACATTGACAATGAACACTATAATCTACAAACTACACAGTTTTGCACAGTAATTTGGATAGATAGTTTCACCAGCGACATACACCATTTTCTAAAACCCAAAAGAACAGTGGGTTTTCTGTTCATAAGTCATCTGGCATGTCTTTTGACTTCTGCCACTTTTCTTATTGTATTAATATACAATGCATCTTTCAATATTGTATCTATTGCATTTCTTTACTACAAATAGAGAAGCAATCCAATACCTTGTCAATAAAATCTGACCACTGTTCACAAATATGTAGATAAATCAAGGCCATTTTCATTTATACTCATAAAACCTTACCAGGCCAAGAAGGACAAAAGAAACATTTCTCAAGAATAGCAATATCCACATTCAACTCCTTGTGATCACATCATATAATAGGAGACACTTTTGAAAACCACAGACCACAAAAAAGAATCCACAATTTCATCAAACACTTGTACCAAAGAGCACAAGAGTTCAAGTCGACTCATTCCATATACCCACAAGATGCGAAAGTGATTTACGACAACCCTGTCACACTGGGTGCTTTCCTCGCACTCAGCAAGCTGGTTGGGGTGGTTGTGGGGATGAAATAAAACAGATTAAGCAAAAACTTGAAAGAAAATCTCAAACAAAACTTAATAACCTACTTTTGGAGAAAAAAATCATTTCAGTACTTTGGTAGTAAAAAAATATGCTGACAGTAAATCTGACAAAGCTAGCAAATAAGTTTGAAATAAAATAAATAGCCAAATATGAATGGTAAAAAAATCAACAAATACTGGAACATAAAAGCTTGCTGAAATCAATTTGAAAATCACAGAAAGCTAAAAACATAAAAAATAGAGGTGACGGGTACTCAGGTGAACAAAGAAATAAAGAAAAATCAAGAAAGCAAATAAATCTCCAGGGAACTTTCAAGTCCTTCCATTCTCATATGCAACCTTTACTCTTTACTCTTCCTTTTCCAATAACATAATATCCAATATTTTTTGGCTCATTTCTACTTTTTTAATCATAAGAATATGCAACCCTCATTTAACAATCATCAACTTCAAAATTCCCTGAAGATAACATAAGCTTGGGCAAAACATGATCATCATAAAACACAGAGGTGAACCACACAAAAGAAAACAAAAAGCAGCTTGATTTTACAAAACTTGAGAATTACCTCCTTCATAGTTACAAAATAAAAAATAAAAATATAAAAAATAACAATTAAAAATGAGACTTCTTTATCTTAAACATAAAAAACTCTATCAGTACCATTAACAACACTTTGCTAATTTAATGCTCTCTTATTCACATCAGAATTCCCTCACTACATCTTTACTAATTTTGATTATCGGAATCTAAAAGGATAAAAAAAAAGTCTAACTAACCAAAACAATAATAACATCTATCACATTGATCAGCAACCTGAAAATCACTCTGGCAGGACTTATGCTAAACATGTCTACTGTAAAGATAAACTATTCTAAAGCACAACGAGAAATCCTCATTAATCAAACTGCCTGTTTATCTACAAACTTACCAAACTGGAAAAGCTGGTTCTCAACAATCACTCCAACTCTCCTTTAAAAAACAACACACACAACTTCAAAAACACAGCAAACCCTTTAAACACAAGTGCATATTAAGAGTATCAGCAAACATACAGCAATACATTTATTACACACAAATACTACAGTAGGTTAGTTGCACATCAACTTTACAGAATCTTTACAATTGTACTAACCTGCTGATCCATTACTAAAACCAACATAGCTCTATTACTTCTAATGGGAGATATTACAGCACATAAATACCAATGCAAACTCTATATATTTAGCAAAGTCTACATAGAAAATACATACTTTATGATTTGCTTTTCTAATACCCTTCACAACTCATTCTCTTATTCCATATTTTCTATATTGTATTCTGCTTTTCAAATATACAGCCTCATGAGTCATGAAAGTTTCTCCCAAAAAGCAAGGAATAAATATAGTCTTTATACGCCCATCAACACTTTCCTCCCTTGGCATTCAACTAATCTGGCAGTGTGCATGGACAACTTATCAAATATTCCTCTTGAGGTAACATGTCTTGGCTACTTGTAAAAGACTTACCATTATCAGGATTACTTTGCAAATAAAATCAGTAGAGATACCAGTCCAAATAGGCACAAAATAACATGATGCAGTGGTATAAAATACTGAATATCATATTCATTTCTAGTGAAAAAAAGATCTGATAGAATCAAGGTGATTTCAACTTGAGTGCATATCAAATACTCTAAGAAATATTAAAATGGAAAAATAATTTTGAAAAGTAAACAAGCATGAACCAATTATCACTTTGTGATATACTCAATTTCAAAATACATAATGTTTAGTACTGATAACTGCTAATTCATACATATTATTACAGAGAATGAAATGAAGGAAATTATTATGATAATAAAAAATAAAAATAGGTGTCATTTAAGTCAGTATCATAGATACCTTTTCCTTTCCTACTCAATGTAAGTACTACTCTGAGCTTTTTTTTTTTTCTTAACATAAAAGTAATCACTAACACCAATAGATCTTAAACACTTGTAAATATGGGTGGGTTACAGCGAAACCTATCTGGAATTGCTCAGTGTTTTACAACGTAGCAATAAATTACACTACTTCAAAACATAATTCTTTAAAAGTATGAAAAAATACTAGTTAATACGTAAAACTAATGGGCACTACAAATAATCTTCTACAATTAAGCCTCTGTTATTCCACTATCACAAATTACTGCTATCGCACACACGCCATCAGCTATCTAACAGCTGGGCTGTATATTTGGCATTATGTGAAATGTAATTATTGACCATCATTAGCCTGCAATTGGTCTACCTTCCCATTCACACCATGGAATAAGCAGTCCAGGTTCTTAGCAGGTCATGTGATTTTTTGGAATCAGAATGCATTTTGCAAATGCAAATAATGACTGATAAAAAAAAAATAAAAAAATCTTAAAAAAAGGATTTGACTATCATTCCCTCTTGAATGGTGTTTTTTTCCTGTTCTAGGAGCTATTTGCAGATGGCTCCTTGTCTCATAACATGTTAACCCAATAACGACGGGTGTCCCACATATAAGACATCCGAAAAAATAAACATTGTCGGGCGTCCCGCTAGTGTGACGCTGTATCGGGGTTCGTGCTCCGAAGCAGCAGCAGGCTGCGGCCGGCAGGTGGACAGACTCTGGGGCAGCTCCGCCCACCAATTTTGTAGCCGACAATTTTTTTTTCCAAGTGTCTCATATATGGGACACCCGTCGTAAATGGGTTAAGGTGATGAAAGGTCAGAACTTGCTCTCAGAAGCTGCTAACAAGTAAAAAGTCATGGATGTTATGTGAATCTTCAGATCAGGTCAGATATGTGCTCATGTTTTGTAAACTAACTGACACTTATACTTCTGATGACAATATTATCAATATGCATCAAATTGTGCATGGTGGAAGTTATCATACTTTTTGGTTGGGCAGTGTTTATGGGAAAACATTAACAAAGTAAGTGGGTAGATTGTCAGCCTGAGTACCAATTAGAATTATTCCTTTTGATTCTAAAGTTCCACCTTCACAGATTTCTACTAGCTCGCAGGTGTGCAACCAATTCAGCATAATAGCAGAGAGTTAGGTGCATAAGATACACCAATCGGCTGAAATAGGACAACTACAGTATTCATGACTTAACTACTTATCTACAAAGACAGTCTACAAGGAATATGACCATTTTTTCCTCCCAGCAACAACCATGTTCTATCTCTTAGCTCAGAGTAGCACTTATCTTGTAGACATCAGGTAGTGTTGATCATTAAAGTGATGCTCATACAAATAGTAAGATTTTCCTCCACTGGTCTTTCTCACTCAAGATTTTTGCTCTGTATTTCCTTTAGTACTAATCATAGGTTACAAGTCTAATCTGCCTTATAATGAGCTGCTGCCATAAGTATCACATCCTGAAACAAAATATGCTGACATTTACCTTATATCAAATGCCCACATGTGACACCTGTGTTGGTGAAAGCTAAACAAAAACCAGTTGCAATCATCTAAAAGTACAATAGATATGTTGAAGTAAAACAAAGAAAAGCTGATCTTCGGACACTATCTACAGAATCAAATCACAACACAGTAAAATTCACAGTACGACAGCTGAAAAGGAAAAGCATATATATTGCAGCAGGCCAAAAAGCTTACCCGTCACCTTGGCAGTAGAATTGGCCATGCCATGCGTCACGTTCCACACAAGACCACCAACAGAGCCTTCGTGAACCAGCTCACTTACGCCCTCGCTCACGTCAGCAAAGAAACCAAACGGATTACCTAAGAAGTCTGTTGATCCTAAAATGCTCATGGCTTGGGATTTCAGCTCCTGAAATTGAAGACACAATTAGCAAAAAGCTGATGCCTATCAGTGTGAGAAAATATATCAGTTTCTAAGATTTATCATCACTTCTCCTTTACATCAGTATTAGTCAATAAGACATCATCATCAAATTATGTGCAGCGGCACATATCAATCACACTTTACCTCCTTGTAATGCTTGGTGATGCAGTCAAACAAGAATCGTGAGGTCTCAAAGGGATGGCATCGCCTGAAGGGTTCTAGGTTAACACTTGCGTGCTCGAAGCGGACAAGGGTAAGACCCATTTTACGTTTAATATTCTGGAGATCAGGGCTTAGTTTTTTCGATGTTAGGACACTTAGCCTAACTTGGTTAAGCTGAAGTTCTAGATTGCTAAAATAGTATCTGAAATCACAACAAAGACCAAGTTAGTACCTTAGATTTCAATGTCCTTACATCCCCATTAGTGGATTCCTTCAAGTCTTTGGCACTGGTAAACACTGCTATTCTGTTGTTTGGGGGGGGGGGGAGGTCAGTAGGAATTTCTGCTTTTTGTTCTTTTTTCTTTTCTTTTACCTGGGAGAACCATCATCTTTTATCCCTCCCCCCCACAAACTGATGAACCAAAGAACATAGCAAATCTATGCCCAACTTCAAGATATACTTTGTGAAAAAAATATGTCTAGCAGATGCAATAATTTTCATGGTAATTTAATCTAAATTACCTTCCCACATAAAAAAATTATATATCTATATCTATATCTATCTATCTATCTATCTATCTATCTATCTATCTATATATATATATATATATATATATATATATATATATATATATATATATATATATATATATTCATGCATTTTTTGTTTACTATGAGGTATAAGCTCCCTAGCTATTTAGGGGGAATGCTCAAAAGGTTGATGCAAAAACATTATAAAAAAAATTCATACACATAAAATTGCTAATTTGAGCAGTTCATTCCTTTAAAGAACAAACTATCTAAATAAGCACAAGTTAAGTAACTCCCACTTTGTCAAATTACAATTGTTATTAACCAATAATTTAGCTGCTTCACCTGAAACCACATATGCACATATTTGAAATGTACCTTTCAAAATATACATAAATGCACAACCTGTGACCAACAAATTTTGTCTATCTTAGCTGCTGATACTTCCAAGCACCATTCTCTCTACCTTGTTGCATTGACTGAGGTGGCCGCAGCTAGCATTCTTCGCATGTCATACTGGTGTTCCTCAACCTTCTCCAATTCTGAGTCTGACTGATCATAGCCAGCCATAAGGAACAATTTGAAGAGTAACGCTTCTTCTATTGTAAGGGTGAGGTTCTTTAAGGTCACCATTAGGTTCTGTTCAAGATAACATAGCCATTATTCAGTAGCAAATAACATACACATTGAATGACAGAATATTTTGACAAAATGAAAGAAAAAGGAAAAAAAAAAAGAATGATTCATCAAAAATATTAACCTTGAAGATGTAAGCATTACTACATGATGATACTAGATGATGGGCAGTGAGGTAGAGAGCAGGCAGGTGACGTGTCTCATCCATCTTGCTCTGTGGAGTCACATACAGCACCACAGGACACTGAGCATTCAACAGTTGATTGTCCACCTGAAAAGTGTAACCCAAAATTGAAATCCTTTTGTACAATAAAGCTCAAATAACTAATTACATACTACTAGATGTGCAAAATAAAACACCTTTTCTCTCCAAATTCCTGTTTGCTCTCCAATATTTTGATCAAGATTCCTTCATTACTTTCCTGGAAAAAAAAATACTACAAGAAGATTCAGTCCCACAGTCTTAACCCATTACCAATGGGTGATCCATATATGAGACACCCGAAAAAATAAACATTGCCGGGCGTCCCGCCAGTGTGATGCTGTATCGGGGCTCGCACTCCGACGCAGCAGCGGCCTGCGGCCAGCAGGCAGACAGACTCCGGGGAAGCTCCGCCCACCGATTTTGTAGCTGCCCGGAATATTAAATTTTTGGCTTCAAAATATACCGGCCTGAATGGGTTAATCATTTGCACACAAGGTGGCCAAAAAAGGGACGTCAGAATTAATACTGAATCTAGCAGATGTACCTGGTCCAAAATCTCTATGGAAGGAGATAGACTTTGCAATGTTCTTATTCAACAATGCTTCAAGCTAGTGTACCAGTTTAAGGCAGAAAATCACCTATTATCAATCCAACATCTAATACAATGTGTACAAGGGGATAGGCTTATAAATTATTCCTCTAATCTAGTACTTAAGAACAAAATTTAAGACATACACACATAAAAAAGTGAACTTCAACCATTCTATAAAAATAAAAATTAAAAAAAAATCCCTACAAGAACATTTAAAAAAAATACAGTAACTTGCCTGAATATCTCTAACACTACAGTGTACAGAGTGATGTTGTATGGAGCTCTGGTATTCAAAAACAATATCAGTAAACTTGGCATAGATAAGTTCCTCTGGCGGGCTGCGCTGGATGACTGACAGTCCAAGACCCCCTCGAATGTTGAGCTGGATCTTTAGATAGAGAAAAAATAGTGTGAAAATACATTCACTTATCTTTTTCTATTATCTGCTTTTTTACTAGAAATGGAGAGACAAAGGAGGAGGAGGAGGAGGAAAAAAAGGAAGAGGAAAAGGAGGAGGAAAAGGAGGAGGAAAAGGAGGAAGAAGAGGAGGAAAAGGAGGAGGAGGAGGAGCAAAAGGAAAAGGAAGAGGAGGAAAAGGAAGAGGAGGAAAAGGAAGAAGAGGAGGAGGAAAAGAAAGAGGAGGAGGAAGAAAGGAGGAGGAGGCAGAGGAGAGGAGGAGGAGGAGGAGGAGGAGGAAAAGGAGGAGGGAGGAGGAGGAGGGGAGGAGGAGGGAGGAGGAGGAGAGGAGGAGGAGGGGGAGAGAGGGGGAGGGGGAGGAAAAAAGGGAGGAGGAGGAGGAGGAAAAAGAGGAGAGGAGGAGTAAGAAAAGAGGAGGAGGAGGAGGAGCATGAGGAAGAGAGAAGAGGAAGGAGGGAGAGGAGGAGGAGGAGGAGGGAGGAGAGGGAGGAGAGAGAGTGGAGGAGATGGAGGGGAGGGCATGAGGAAAAGAGAAGAGGGAGGAGGGAGAAGGGAGAAGGGAGAAGGTAGAAGGTAGAAGGGAGGGAGGGAGGGAGGGAGGGAGGGAGGGAGGGAGGGAGGAGGAGGGAGGGAGGGGAGGGAGGGAGGGAAGGAGGAGGGAGGAGGGAGAGAGAGAGGAAGAGACGGAGAGAGGGAGTAGGATGAGGAGGAGGAGGAGGAGGAGGAGGAGGAGGAGGAGGAGGAGGAGGAGGAGGAGGAGGAGGAGGAGGGGAGGAGGGCAAGAGGGAAAGAGGAAAAGAGGGAAAAGAGGAGGAAGAGGGGGAAGAGGGGGAATAAATAAAAATATATACAAACAAAGCGATAATACATATATACAATAAAATAATAAGAGAAGGACCAATTAAATAAGTAGTTACATAAATCAATATATATATTATATATATATATATATATATATATATATATATATATATATATATATATATATATATATATATATATATATATATATGTATATATATATATATATATATATATATATATATATATATATATATATATATATATATATATATATATATATATATATATATTATATATATATATATATATATATATATATATATATATATATATATATATATATATATATATATATATATATATATATATATATATATATATATATATATATATATATATATATACAAACAAACAACAAACAAAATATAATATACATAAATAAATAGATAAATACATAAATAAATACATAAATACATAAACATATACAGAAATAAATATATATGTAAATAAGTAAAAAAACAAACAAATAAACAAACAAGTAAATAAATAAATATATACATAAATAAATACATACATAAATAAATAAAACCACCAATTTTTTTTTGAAAACTCACCTGTACTTCCTGAAGAGTGGACCCCTCTTTGACCTGCTGCGTTCCAGCGCTGGTTTTCTTGATGGTGGTTGTTCCTCCCTCCTCACTCACACTCACCCAGTCTCCGCTCTCCGTTCGGGCCACCATGGAAGCGTTCTGCAGAGGGGGCAAGGTCATATACAGGTTCACAGAGCATGGTGGTTGTTGCAAGTGTAACTGTCTTTGGAGTGTTAAAGTTTGGAGAAAACAGGATGTGTGTGTGTTAATTTGACCTCAATATCTTCACTTGTACTTGGCTTCAAGCATCTGT